AGCACAAGACAGATTGGTGGGTTTTCCAGCCCAAGAAGCAAGCTGAGTGCGTTCAGGCAGAAGACTGGCTGGCAGAGCCAGGGGCCTCTGGGCATTTACTCAGGGAGGTATGCTCACCTACTCACAGTTTGAGAAAGCTGGGTGCCTCTGAGTCACTTATCAGCAGAACTAAAAGAGCTTTGTAACACTTATCTGTGCAGGGTAGAGGCCAGGCTGAGGGGCTGAGGGCCAGAGAGGAAGCTAGCTCCAGGCCCAGCTGAAGAGAGGCTGTCCTGGTCAAAGAATTGTATCTTGAGCATTCCTGATACTGAATTATAGTATGTTACTCCTCTAATAAATCCCATAATTGTGAGAGAGTTGAACCCAGTTGAAAAATAAAGAGTACAGTGATAGGGACAACTAGTCTCAGAACTGGTGAAAAGGTTGGAGTGGACAGACGTCTGACCTCTGCCTGGTAGAAATTAGCCTTGGTCTTTCATACTGATCTCAATCCTGTTCCCCTCATGTGAAGTTAGAAGGGGTCAGATGCCACCCTGCAATAAGGACACAGAGGTAGCATCCTCTGACCTCCTCCATCCTCACAAGGGTGAAACAGAGTCATCGTCAGCAGCCCAAGGCTTACTCCTATAAGCCAGGTGTGCCATCACTCTCCAACCTTTTTACTAATTATGACATCAACACTCCCTCCCACAGCACTCACCAATTCTCTACTGGGTTCTGCAATTTGTTGCAATGACCACACAGAACTCACAGAAAATACTCATGATTAATGAATGGGTTTATCAGGGAAATAACAGGCTACAATTCAGGTTCAGGAATGCACTCATGATACAATTCTTTGATCAGGTAGTCTCTCTGCTATGCCCTCGGGCACACCTCTCTGGCCCTTGGCCTCTTTGCTTTGCTTCTGCCCTGCTAAGGCAAGTAGTACAAAGTTCTTTTAGCTCTGACACAATAGGTATATCTACGTGTACCCCACTACACCAGCAAGCCTCCTGCCCAAAGGCACTCAGCTTTTTCGCTCTGTGGGTCATAAAGACTATCGCTTTGTCTCGTGCCTCTTGGTTTCTCAGCTGGGTCTCTGCCGGGCCATCTCTGCTAAGGAGAGCCAGTGCAGGGATCACGGGTCCAAGGATACACACCACTTCACCTCCAGCTCTTCTCTCCTGATGGCAGTGAGATGCCCTTTCTGCCTCTAGGAGGGCTCATTTTAAGGCTGGCAGAGTGACAAAACTAATCAATTCCAACATCAGAGTTGTACACACCTTATTTGCATGGTCCCACCCAGTAATCTGGTGGGAGTTACAAAGACTATAGTTAGAAAAGCCATACTGAGTAATTCACTGCACTGCATACCCCACAAAATTTATACAGAGGTACAGGTGTTTACAGGTTTGGCTACTAATTGAAAGGTTGTCAATTCAAATCTACCCAGAGGCAGCTCAGAAGAAACGCATGGTGATCTACTTCCAAAAGATCACAGTCCTTGAAAACCCTAGAGAGTACAATTATACTCTGATATACCTGGATTTGCCAGTGAGTCAAAACTGATTCAATGGCAGCATTTTTAAAAATGTTAAGGACATCAGCAAAAATAAAATATTCCAACATTATCAGAAGATATCACAACCAAAATAAAAATCAATCGTGAACAGATTCCACATCCTGAAATGATATTACATGCTTAAAAAAAAAAAAAAAAAAATTATTGTGACTTGGGTCAAGTTTACAAAGCAAATTCATCTTCTATACAGCAGTTCATGTACACATTGTCTCATGGCAGTGACTGCAATCTCCCACAATACAACAGCTCTCCCTCTTCCTCCCCATAGCCACCTCTTCTATGTGTCCTTCCCTCCTATGCACTCCTGCCCCCCTCCATCTGTCCCCCTGTGCACACACAGCCCTTCTGTTCTCCCATGACTGATCTCACCAAGGAGTGTATCTATCTAGTGTAAATGTTCAGCTCTTATGTCTGTCTTTTATTTAGCTGGAAGCCACAGGAGTGGGTTCAATTCCAGACCTAACGCGTAGCTAGGGGCCACAGTCTCAGGGGTTCCACCAGGCTCTACCAGACCAGCAAACCTGGTCACCCCCCCTTTCTTTTTTTCTTAAATGATTTTGAGTTTTGTTCCACATTTTTCTCCCACTTTATCCAGGATCTTCTACACAGATCCCCCTCTTAGTGGTTGACAGTGGTAGCTGGGCATCATCTAGTTCTTCTGGTAATATATCATGTGTCCTTAATAAATTCAAATGAATAAAAGGACCTATACAAAGGATGTCTAAAGCACAAAAGACCAATAAGGTACACAGATTTAGGTGCAAAAAAAGAAAAACAACTTTCTCACAAACATACAAAAAATAAAAGTACCCACACATCCACAGTGATAGTTCATGTTGTGTGTCAACATGTCTGGACCATGACTCTAAGTGGTTTAAGCAGTTATGATGCGGTCATCCCCCATGAAATGTGAGATCTACTAATGAGCAGCCAATAAATTAAAAAGGAGCTTCCTTAGGGGTGTGGCCTGCTTTACACACACACACACACACACACACACACACACACAAATGGATATCCTGTGAAAATTCTTTGGTTTTCTGCTGGATCTTGATCTTGCATCTAGCTCATTCTCATCTCTGCTTCCTGGATTTGAACTAGTGGCCTGGTGGTGGAGTGGGGTGCCTCTGTGAGTTCAGTGTGGCCATTACTAGAAATTATCGAACCCAGCAGAGACGTGGAGGGTGTCATGGAAGGGATGACTGGTGTGAGAATTGGAAAAAAGGTTGGAGGATGGAGGCATGTCTGCCTTCCGTCTCATAGGAATCAGCCTTGGGTTGCTGATGGTGAGCCTCTCTCCCCTTTGTGAGGCTGCAGAAAGTCATCAGATACCTCTTCTACATCATTTTTGCAACAGGTCTCTCTCTGACCCTTGGGGACCTGGTGCTGGCCCAGCCTCTGCCAGGTTGGCAAATGTTACAAAGCTCATTAGCTCTGCCCATGTATGCCCAGAGACACTCCACCCTGCCAGCAAGCCTCCTGCCCGGAGGTATTCAGGTTTCTCACCCCTTGAGCTGCGAATCCCACACTGTATCCTGCTGGTGTCCTGATTCTGTGTCTCTGCTGCTGCTTCATACCACCTGAAGGGGCAGTGTTACAGCTTTCTGTCTCTTTGGTCCAGGAGGTTCTCAGCACAGGGGTCCCAGGTCATAAATAGTATGCTCCACTCATGGCTCATCTTTCTTGGTGGTCGTGAAGTCTCCCATTCCACCTCTGGTATGCCTCATTTTAAAGCTAGGAGAATGGCATAAACTGACCAATCCCCTTGTTAGGATTCCATACACCTTATTTACATGGTCCCACCACACAACAGTGCCATGCACTTTATTTATATTATTAGCAAATGATCCGATCCCCTTGGTGAGCCAGAAGCACCTTATTTGCATAGCTCTGAGCAGTCAATTGGTGGCAGTTACAAAGATCGTGGCTAGAAGGGCCATATTAACTAACTTAGTGCAATGCACTCGCCTTGAGTTGGAATCAACTTGATGGCAACAGGATTTGTTAACGCTTTTGTTGGTGGTAGGTGCCGTCGAGTTGGTTCTGATCATATTGACCCTGTGCACAACAGTACAAAACACTGTTTGGTCCTGTGCCATCCTCACAGTTGTTGTTATGCTTGATCCCACTGTTACAACCACCAGTCAATCCATACCACTGAGGGTCCTCCCCTTGTTCACTGACTCTCTACTTTACCAAGCATGGGTTTTTATTTTGTTAATGCTGTTGTTATGTGCTGTCGAGTTGGACTCAACTCATAGCGACCCCTCCTTGGGTTTCTAAGGTGGTATCACTACAGAAGTAGATTGCTCAACTTTCCTTCCAAGGAGTGGCTGGTGGGTTTGAACCGCCAGCCTTCTGGTTAGCAGTCAAGTCCCTTAGGCACTATGCTACCAGAGCTCCCTTTGTTAATGCTACACCATTATATTAGGAAGGAATCTTTTGCTATGAGTTAACTATGTACTTTAAAAAAAAAAAATGTGAAAAAAAAGCAGTGCGGTGTAGTAAATTACTTAGTGTGGCTTTTCTACCCATAAGTCTTTGTAAACTCTAAGGTGGGAATTGCTATTAGCTACGGAGGAGATCCTGATTTTAAAGTCGCCCACCTGGGTTATTTCTGTTGGGCGTGGCACAATACAATGTTCTGGGAAGTTCCCACTCTCTCTCATGTGCTTAGAGTTCTGATGCTGTGATTGGCTAGTTTGACCACCCTTCCAGGCTCAAAGGGAGGCCTCCTGGAGGCAGAACTCTCTCTTACTGCTGGTGGAGGAAGATGTGCTGCTGAAAGAGACACGCACCCCTGAAAGAGACACGTGCTGCTGGGAAAGAGATGCGAGAGACATGCATTGCTGAGTGAGACACCGAGGGACCAGCACTGCTGGGAAAAAGACTGTGAGAGACTCTTGGCTGAGGGACGCTGGGCTGGGAAAGAGACTGAGTGTTCTTCCTGAACTTGAGTTGTAGCCTGGTGCTTCCCTAATAAACCCCATAATCTGTGAGTTCTGTGTGGCCACTGCAGTGAATTACTGAACCCAGGAGAGAGGTGGTGGGTGATTTGGGAGGAACGGTTGGAGAAAGGGCTGGAGGGAGGCAGCATGTCTGGCCTTGCAGTAATAGGCCTTGGGTTACTGCTGGTAATCCTGCCTTCCCCTTGTAGGGTTAGAGGAGGTCAGAACATGTGGCCTCCTTGTCGTTTTAGCAAGCGGGTAAGAATTGGATTTGATTAAAGGGAAGACACTGTACTTTTGGAGATGGAATCAAAATTAAACAGATGCTAACAACCCAAATTCTTAGTAGAGAACATTACTTTCAATTCAGTCCTATCACATCTGTACTCAAACTCCACTTCAACCATCTGTTGAATGGTCACAAACCTCTATTTTCCTAGGCTGTTTAGCTCTTCCTTCTGAGTAAACCATGACTGCCATGAAGCTGGGTCCCTGGGCCACCTAGCTATGATTTCTCGAGTTCTGTTTGACACATCCCCACAGGGAATCATGAGGCCCTCTGTAAGATACAGACATAAAAATATGCTTTTGCATTTATCAGAAGGCTGTCGATAAGGACACCACCCGCTACATCATCTTTAGGAAGACCCATCCTACAAATGCCTGAAAACTAAGTAACAAAAATACTGACAGCCCCCGAGAACCGCTCTGGTCTCTCTCCGCAGTCAAGGTGTATCACGCAGCGATCCATGCTAATTGGTCGTGATGGCCCCTGGAGATACTGTATGTCAGCTGATAGCTAACGTTAGTCACAAGTCCCAACACAGCCACACATCGTGTTCCAATGTGAGACACACCATTAGTATAACCCCTAGAAAGAGTATATTCCTGAATCCACTTTACCCTGATTTTGAAGTTAGACACTTAAGTTTACCTGTTTCCCCCTGGCCTCATGATCCTAATTTAAACTTTTCTTATAATACCAAAAAGAAAAAGAAGTGATTTTTTTCTCCCCCAGGCCACCACAAAAATCAGGGAACAAAGGATGAACAAGAAACCAAAACTCACCTGGGCCTCAATCATTTTCTTCAGTGGTCAGAAGTAGCAAGGAACATGAATTCTCTGTTTTCTGTCTTTTTCACGAAGTCCTTGTAGTTAGAAATCTTGGTGGCCAGTTAAAGTTGCCTAGAGAAATGATGATCTCCAAGCCCTGGAACCTCCTCCCCTCTCCTTCACTTGATGTGTCTTGCTCCTGGAAAGCCAGGACCTGTGGACTGAAGAGCATATTGACTTTGAGTATACGTTCCTCCTGGGCCCAGATGTTGCCACAGCTGCTACACACTTACTTTTAATAAAAGATTCCAGTATTTCTAACTGTCCCTTTATTTGGGATGTTTAGAAATATTGGGGTCTTTTCACACCCTGGGCCAATAAAACCAGATTCCAGGTGTATAAAGGTATGCTTTCTGTGAAGCTGAAGCATGAGGCTATAAAAGGGGAGGCAGGAAAACAGAACCCATATGGCACAATGTCACAGACGTAGATGAATTCTCTTAATTTTAGGGAAGAGAACTTACAGAAGGTTCCAAGCATTTGAATTTTGTATCTTTTAAAAGCATGTGTGAACAAGAGAAAAATAATGATACACAGCATCAGTGCTCATGTCTTTTTATACCCAATAGGTATACACATCTCAGTCTGAAGAGCAGTGTTATGAAGACAATCAGAGGGATTGCCTTGTGTTCCCGCTACCCCTCACCTTGTTATGCTTTACAAAGTATATTGTTATCTCCAGTAATTTGAATATCAGGAAGCTGAGGATAAAGGACTGTCTTTCCTAGGAACACACTTTATATGGAATTTGAACCCAAGTCCGCCTATTCCCAATTATATGATCTGAAACATGGTTGTATTCCCTCTACCAGATACCCTACCTCATAATAAAACTTAGCTCTCTTTACTTTGTTGTTGTTTGCTGTCGAGTCGGCCCCGACTCATAGCGACCACTCCTTGGGTTTCCGAGGCAGTATCACTACGGAAGTAGGATTGCCCAACCTTCCTTCCGAGGAGTGGCTGGTGGCTTTGAACCGCCAGCCTTCTGGTTAGCAGTCAAGTGCCTCAGCCACTATGCTACCAGGTTACCACAAAGAGAATCCCATGGAAAACGGCCGTAATAGCCACACATGCATTATTTGAGAACAGCTTTTGTAAAAACATTTTTTTGTGGTTGTTGTTGCAAACATACACAAAAATATATACCAATTCAAGTCTCTACATGTAATTTTCAGTGACACAGATTACACGTGTCAAGTTGTGCAACCATTCTCACTCTCCTTTTCTGAGTTCTTCCTCCCCCATTAACACCAACTCACTGCTCCCCAAGCTTTCTATCTACTCTTTCCAGTTGTTCCTGTCAATTTGATCCCATAGACACAGACCTTAAAGGACTGTAACAATCAAGGCAGACATTCTTTATTAGTTAAGCTAAACTCAGTAATAGCTGGTTTGAAGTAGCCTTCAGGAGATATTTTTGGCTCAAGATTTGGTGGCGTAATGGATAACTTTTACATGGCCCTTCTTGTTATGGTCTTGTACCCCCCACCAAATGACTGGGTGGGACTATGAAAATAAGGTGAATGGAATCTTAATGAAGGGATTGGTCAGCACACAAAGGGCATGGGGTTGCAGCATGCTTATCCTGATTGTGAAATGTACTCTGCTCAATTGTAAATCACTCAATTGTAAGTACGGTCTATGAGTTCTGGTGGCCATTGCAATGGATTATCGAATGCAGAAGAAAAGTAGAGTGTGTCATGAGAGGGACAGCTGATGGCAGACTGGTGAAAAAGTTAGAAGGTGTAGGTATGTCTGACTGGATCAGTCTTGAGTTGAGTTGTCCTTGATTTGTATTCCCCCCCCCACTGAAGTTAGGCAGGTTCTGACTATGCTATTCCTGTTCCATTTTACAAGTATGAAATATTTCTCTCTGAAAGCCTCCAGATGGAGTTGACATGACCATGACCCTGATTTGAACTTGTAGTCTTCAAAATTGTGAGAAATAAAGTTCTCTTCTTTATGGAAAGTCTAGCAAACTAGGACAAAAAGAAAATTATATATTAGTGCTTCCTGAACTTACGTGAATTATGTAAATAATATTAATGAAAAACTAAAACTGAAATACACAAATTGTCCCAAAGCTTATCTTTTGGAATAACATTTGGGATGATACAGATTTGTTCTAAGTCAGATTGAACCTGAAAGGAAATGTCTACAGGGAATATTCAGAAAATATTCTTTGCAAGACAAAGTACACAAATTAAATCTTTCAGTCCTTATTGCCTCCAAAATTTTCAGCTCTGCAGTGACAGATGCAGGGTACGATGGGGCCCTAACCCAGATTTAAATACGAGTGCTTGAAAAGGGAATTAATTGGCCTTGAAGAAGTGCAGGGAAAGCAACCTGAGAAACAGCAAAAGAAGAGTGATTTATATAAAAACAGAATGAGAAAATCATGAAGATCACAGTGTAAAGCAATGAAAGAGAAGACAAAAATGATATAGATGATCAATTAATCAAAAGATAGTTATCTGAAAAACTTCAACAAAATTAACACCTTTTCACCAGTCTTTTAAAGAAAAGAGAAAAAAAAATCATGTAAATTACAAAGGAAAGAGGAGACACCATTACAGGCCCTAAGCAAATTCAAAGCTTTAAAGAAAACCTTTAAATGCACTATTTACATGAAACGGGCAAAGCCTAGAAAGGACAAATTAGTAAAACAAACAAGAATTTAAAAAAAAAAAAAATTTAAGGATACTCTGTCATGATCTTGCATTTCACCAGGAATGTATGATTAGTTTAACATCATAAATCGGTCAATGTAATTTGTCATATTAAAAACCAAAAGGAAAAAAAAAATCCTCAATAGATGAAATGAAATACTACTCAGCAGCAAAACAAAAAAGGATCCACTTACATACACAATAAAGATGAATCCAAAATAGTAATAATGAGTGAAGGAAGTCAGAATAAATGAGAGTACATACTCTATGATTCTGTATTAATAAAACCCTAAAAAATACAAATTAATCTATATTGGTGGCTGTTTAGTAAGGAGGAGGGAGTTACTGACAGGGGCAGATATAGCAACACAAAGAAACTTCTGAGGATGAGGGACACTATGCTACCTTGACTGTGGTCAGGTCTCACGGACATCTACATTCAACTTACCAATTTGAACACTAAATAGTTGCAGTTTATTATATATCAAGAATGCCTAAATAAATCATTTTTGGGAAAAAAAGGAACTTCAATGTACACGGACATCAAAAACCTGACACCAAATGACAGCGAGGCATTGACAAACGGATACGTGTTTTATTCCATTTCTATGAAACGTCAAACAAACGCATATGCAAAAAGAGCATGGGGCTTCCTGGCTCACAGATCCTTACTTAGCTCGGAGGTGTATCCTACCTGCTTGAGCTAAAGAAACACATCGGGAAAGTTCTCCCTATATCTGCAAGTCCTATCTGGCTTCCTAAGAAGAGATGATGACAAGTTTTTACTTTCTGAAACACTTTCCACTCCTCTCCACAAAATGCTGCATATTATGTTTAAAATTTAATAAACATGTCTTTTATTTAAAAAAAAAAAAAAAAAAAAGAGCATGGGGGCAGCATCCTCTGGCTTCCTCTAACCTTACAAGGTGGAGAATTAGCAGCAGCAGGAGCCCAAGACTGACTCCTATAAGTCAGAAGTCCAACATAGCACCACCTCCAACCTTTATACCAATTCTGACAGCAACTGTCTCTCCCACACACTCACTCTGCTGGGTGTGATACTTCATTGCAATGGCCACACAGAACTCACAGACAATATTCATGGGGTTTATTAGGGAAGCAATAGGTTTTAATTCAGGTTCAGGTATGCTCATGATACAAGCCCAGGATACAATTCTTCCATCAGGACAGCCTCCCCTCTGCAGTGCCCAAAGGCATGCTTCTCTCTGGCTGTCTCTCTGTTGTGGTCCCAGCACAGGGATCTCGGCTCTAAGGTTGTGCTCCACACTTGGGTCTTCTCTGTCTTGATGATAGTAAGATTCCCCTCCTTCTATCTTGGGGGTGGGGTGGGAGGGGGGCTCAATTTAAGCCTAGGAAAATGACAAAACTGACCAATTCCCACATTAGGGTTCCATACACCTTATTTCCATGGTCCCACATCCAAAAGGGCACCATGTACCGTAGTTACATTACTAGCAAGCTATCCAATCCCCTTAGTGGGCCAATAAGCACTTCATATCTGCATAGTCTCACCCAGTCTTGCGTGGGAGTCCCAAAGACCATGGTTTGAAAAGCCATATGCACCAATTCACGGCACCTCAGCATATAAACAGGGACTGTGTTTTGGGCATCTAGTGCTGCTCTAACAGAAAATACCACAAATTAGTGGCTTTGACAAACAAGGTTTTATTATTCTCTTACAGTTTTAGAGGTTAGAAGTCTGAGTTCAAAGTTCCAGGCTCTAGCGGCTGGGTGAAGGCCCCTCGACCCTGGGCTTCAGCTCTGCCTCTTGCTCCAGGCCCACTAAAGCTGACAAACCCAAGGTCGACAAAATAAATGGCACAGTCACAAGATCATTAAGCAACATGGCAGGCCACTAGCTCAAGTCCAGAAATAGTCCCAAGATCAGCAGGCAATCATGGCTGGCTGCTGAATGAAGACTCGGCTACATGCAGGGTCCAAGCGTGCAAAAAAGCTCTGAAACCTTTCCCCAAATTGTCTTCTTATACATCAGAAGCAGACCACATCCCTAAGGCAGCTACTCAGCTGCTCAAGGAGATCTCACCATGGAACTGATTAACAGTCTCACCATGGGGAATAACTACATCCAGCTGCCCAGTCACTCAACCAGGCCCAGCCAACTTGACACACTACTTAACTACCACA